GGCACAAGAAGTCACAACGAAGGGCGTGTATCGACTCTCGCATACTATCTACTACTCTAGCTAGCCCGTGTCAGACTCTCTGCGAGCTACTAGCGGGAGACCACGAGTAAACGCATACTAATAGCAGCCTAGCCCATCAATTAGCGGTACCGCGCATCCCCAGTTCGCCGAGGGTTTGCACTTTAGTGCTTTTCATTTATTATAGCTTTTCCGGCCCTGCAGCATAGCTAGCCTCCACTAGTTCCTCCGGCGCATGCGTGACCAGGGGCGGATATTTTGTAGGAGGGGTGGCACCCAAACGGAAGACGTTCCGCGCCGTTTAGCTATCCACCATTGCAAGCCATGGGTGAGTTAGCTAGCTAGTATCTAGCTGTGGGTCGTCACAGTAATATTTTACATGTTCGCCAATCGGTAAGACGATGGAAGATTGGACGAAATTCTCAGCAAATGTGAGCAAGGAGGACGAAGATGATTTTGAGCTAGGTTTTGTAACATTACCGTATCGGACTATGCGACTGCGTATTTCAGTATTTGTTTGTTTGCACCAGATGAGGAGCATTTTGCCGTTTCTGTTCAGAGCCCTCACTCCTTGGCTCCCAGATGGCATGGATTCTGCTTGCAGTGGACGTGAAGGACCTACACAAAATTGAGCGGAATGGAACATCTGTTGATGATTATCTTGTGCTTGGTCTTCAGGATGGCTAAGAGGAGACAAGGTGTCTTGGAAGCAGCTAATCTCAGCCATATTCCAGCCAGCTGGTGGCAATAACAGCGCATGGCTCTAGACGTTGCTGGATCCTTCAAAGGTTGATAGTGGGCGTGCAATTGAGGACTACTCATAAAACTGTGATGTTTCCCTCCCTCAGAGATGTGTACTTTCAAACTATTGAGCAAGCTTGCAATGCTAGCCACTGCACATATTTGTGAGTTTCCTTGTAAAAACATACTCGTAGTGTAACACAATCTCCTTCTTCTCTAGGTAGTTCTAGATCTAGTATTGATAGTGCAGTCAAAGATATCCAGGGTCTTCTGGGGAACAAAGTTGCAGCCCGCTGGTACCAGATGGGTGTCACTCTAGGAGCCCCAGTCAGTGATCTCCAGAGTATCAGAGTGATGAAACCCCCCAAGTCATAGTGAGGCTTTGATGCTGAGGGCGTGGCTTGGAGAACTGTAGAAGCACCACCTGGCAGGCTGGTTGACTCAGTGGGCATGCCGCTGGTGGAGACACCAGCGACTGGCCGGAAATACTAGCCAAAAAGAACCATCTTAGGTAACTGTGTAGTACGATACAGCCTTATCAGATTTCAATCACCTCAATTGCTTTTCGAAGGCCCCGAAACTTCGACCATTACAGACACTGTACCTCTTGTGCGGGTGACTGATCAAGTTCAAAACGAGGTCTGCATACTGTAATGGCTAATGATGAATTATGCTTACAGCAAATCCTGGTCCCACCCCTTCATGTGGAGAACAGAGTGTACCAGTTTACTATTATACTCCTTTATGAAGGTGTGGCAGCTGCTGTGCATGACACTGTCTCTGGTCCTACCACTACTACAAAAAGGACCGGGAAACTAGGTAATATTAGTATCTTTAGCCTGGCTTATTGGTGTTGACCCATACAATTCTTTAGACATAAACAAAGATGTTCTTGAAGCTAAAACCCTGTTGATAAATCTGGAAAAAGATGAACTTAAGGATCTATTTATGAAACTGGGACTTTCTGATGCTACACTACATAACAAGTACTCAGCCAGTGTTAGTGTCTACGCCAGTGACTTGTTGCGAGCATGGATACTAGGAAAGGATGGCGTGCTGAAGTCAGGAGGAACTACATGGGAGAATTTGAGGAGATCTCTTATTTCATTGAATCATCATGGAGTAGCAGAGAATGTATGACTGCATTGTTGCACGTAATTGACTCTGGAATGCGGAAAAACGAGTAGCAGAGAACGTATGACTGCATTGTTGCACGTAATTGACTCTGGAATGCGGAATAACGCTTGATACGCCACACCCAAGGCGCCGGGCCGCTGCAATACTAAAGCCCTGCCGTGCGCAGCGTCTGCCCACAGGTGTTCTCGAATCCTGCGCACACACAGGACGTTGAGATACGTGCACACAGGAAGCTGACGCAGATTCTGACGTCGCCCGGCCTGTGCACCAAGCACGCAGCACAGGGGGCCGTATAATATACTCTGTGATCCTATATACGTTGCCCGGCCCGGAAACACCTCTAAAGTAGGTAGGCGTGGTATTGATATACGTGCGCGTGTGCACGCGGACATTTGTGACTCGCGCGCGAGGTGTGATAGATGAAGCGCATGTCTCTTTCGGTTTTGTACTCAGACGCCGGTGATCAGAGTAGAAAAAGAGAGAGGTATTACAGTAGCTCCGGTGTCAGCAACGAGAAGGGCACGACGTTCAGCGCGCACACGAAAGCGCAGCGCGCGTGTTACGCACATGCGCAATGCTGGCGGGAAACCCAGTCCTTGGCTACGCCCCTTGACCACCGCACAGCGAAGTGATCCCCCTGCGATTGCCGACGTACGCCGTCCGGGTGAAGTTCGTAGTGCTCTTTCTGCTGATGGGTATGTTTCAAACAGAAACAAGGAGATGATACGTTGAGCATGATTAGCTAATCCGCGTCTGAGAACAGTAAAGAAACTTAGCCTAAGCACAGACGCCTCCGTTGTGTGCAAGGAGCAATTGCTATATACGTGCCTCTCTCTCTGCAGCCGAAGACGAGAGTTTGACTCAGTTTCTACAGTGCGTGAATGAAGACGATGAAAGGGAGTATGAGCTGATAGTGCGTTTTTTCCTCAAAACTCCTTGAGTAATATACGTGTATCATGTATCGGCCCCAACAGAGGAAGAGCATACTTGCCTTCTTGTTTCGTGCTCTCCACTCTTTGCTTCAAGTGGCATGGATTCTGCCTTCTGCTTCGTTAGATGTCAATAGAACTGGATCAGATCGAGAGGAATGGGACCAAGGTTGACGACTTGTCTTGTGCTAGGGCTCCAGAGCTGGTTGAAAGGATGTTCCAGTGAGCTGGAGACAACTGATCAGAGCCATCTACCAACCAGCTGGTGGAGGTAATCCACGATTGGCTCGTGACGTAGCCCACTCATTCAAAGGTATCTTATACTCGATTATCATTATTGTGTAGTTTTTACTCCTGTGTGTAGAAATGTGTACATTCAAGCCCAGTGCTATAGCCCAGAACACCAGTACTGGAAATATTGGTAAGCACAGAATCAGACATGCCATCATTTCTGAAATGAGGTGTTTGTGGTGGACACAGGTGACTTCTACAAAAACATTGAAAGTGCTGTAAAAGACATTCAAACAATGCTGGATTCAAAGGTAGCGGCACGTTGGTACCAACTGGGGATTACCCTGGGTGCCCGAGTGAGTGACTTGGAGATGATTCGGCTGGAGAAACAACCTGCCCTGGACTGTGAGAGGATGATGCTTCAGGAATGGCTGAGAAACTGTGACAACACCACCTGGCAACGGCTAGTTGATTCAGTTGGACATGTAGCTGGTGGAAACCACCAGCGACTGGCCAGGACTCTGTCAGAGAATAAACATACCTAGCTAGTTGTATATACTGCATGCAGTGTCTTTTTATACAACACCATTCATGATTTGAAAATTCGTGGGGTTTTTGGTAAACCTATCCAGGGCTGTTGGTAAGTGTGGAATTTACAAAACGTATATATGAATAATGGAATTTCCGGGATCGGATGTTGACAAAGAGAGTCTGAACAGTGGTCGTTTAAAGCAGTTTGCAGTCGCTGAGCGCCATGGGTAAGTTTATTGCAAGGCCTCGCGACGTTCTGCGCAGGCGGGCGCGGCGGGCGGCCTTCATGTTCAGGGCAGGGCAGGTGACTGGCTACGGCCTGTTTTGTCTTCAGCCAGATCTAAAGGAGATCAAGTATTGGACGAAATACTCAAGAAAGTTAGTGACGAAGACGAGGAGACTTTTGAGCTTGGTATATAAACTTAGCTATTAGTTGCGCCGCTGGGCCATATTCTTGACCGTCGTTTCACAGATGATAGTGCACTGCCCTATCTGTACCGTGTCATCTACTCTTTATCACCCAAGTGGCATGGATTCTGCTTACAATTGGATGTTCCAGATCTAGACCAAATAAAGAAAAATGGAACCGTTGCTGATGATTGCTTAGTAATCGCTCTCCAGAGCTGGTTGAAGGAAGGTACTGCGACATGGAGGAACCTCATTCGGGCTATTTTCCTACCAGCTGGTGGAGGAAATCAGGTGTTAGCTATAAAGATCGCCAGCTCGTTCAAAGGTATCTAAAATACTGTGACCTGTTCCCAATTATTATTAGCACTTTGTTTCTTTTAGAAATCCGATGCTCCAAACCAATTGAACAGGCTCAATCTGCTAGCAAAGCTGTCATTTGTGAGTATTGGGCATGCATTACACTCATTCTAACGGGGACGCTATCTTTCAGGGGATCAGAGTAGTGAAACAACTGTACAGAATGTGGTAAAAGAGATCCAAGCAGTGCTGGGCAACACTGTGACAGCTCGCTGGTATCAGATGGGCACAGTCCTGGGTGCTCCAGTCGGTGATCTGGAGGGCATTCGGGTGGATCAAAATGCCTCCCTCATTGACAAGCAACGTATGATGCTGGAAGCATGGCTATTGTCCATTGAAAGCAGTGATGACAGTAACAAGACATGGCAGTGGCTCGTGGATTCTATTGGCCATCCTGCTGGAGGGAAACATCCGAAAATGGCCTCAAAAATGGCCAAACTTCATCCAGGTATTTAGGCAATAAAATAATTATCTTTTATGTTTAAGTGTAACCAGTGTTTATCTTATAGCCGAGATTGTTTCATCTGATCAACCGCCAGTAACTGCTCACCAAAACCCAGGTGTTTACCTACACCTCAATAGATTTGCAAAATCAATAGCTATCTGTGTGTTTTGTATGAACTACAGCTGGACCCAAAAGTGTTGTTTCAGAAAAAGTACAAAGAAGTACGTAAGTATGTAGGTGCAGATATATAGCTACATTTTTGAGATTTCTATTGACCTATGAAGTTATGTGCTTCAGATTCCATCTAGTGCAAAGTTTAGCACAGGGATTCGGGGAAGGACCATAATTGCCTGCATCCCAGCAGTTAATAATCATATCATTTTAGTACAAATAAAGGACAGCAAGAAGTGACTAATGATTGCCGTTTGCACTAATGGTTTCACTATACAGGTATGCGACCAAATATGGTGAAGCTGCTGAGTTTTCCGACTTCCGAGGGTTACAAGAACCTAGCTGAACAGATTGGAGGGAAATACAGGGTCTTTGGAACCATTATTCTCAATGATGAGTCACACGCCATCATGGACGGGCTAGAATTACTCACAACAGTCGAGCTGAGGCCATAACTGAGGCTGTGTTCACAAAGTGGGTCAACAGTGAGAAGACACCAGTGACATGGGGACAACCTTTTGTCAACATTGTCGGCGTTCAGGCTTGGAGAGACTTGCTACACTTGTAGAGAGTGGACTGATATGATTCTGGTTTTGTATAATACTTCGTTTATATATACACCTACACCACATCCATTTTATGCTAAGGCATGTTCATCTCCACAAGTTGCGCACGATAATAGCGGCGTGCGAAGGTTTGCTTCAAGCCGCTAACAAACAGCCCATGTGTGCGCAAGACCAGGTAACAGTGCTGTGCAACAGGTAATTACTGGAGAGAGAGGCTTCTCTGCTGGGATGAACTTAGTTACAAGCTTGTGAATCACAGTTTGGATTCAGACAGAGACAACTAATATCATCACGACATCAATAATGCAATCCTGTTCCAAAAGCTTTGTTAGGTGGATTTGCAGAAGTGTTTAAGTGAATCACAAGCTATATACTCGGGAACAAAAGGTGTGTGCTCAAAAATGAAACATCTTACATCCTCTGGGTGTAATTGAGTTGTTTGCTTTGCCTTGCCTTTCTACACTCGTTACCTCGTTGTTGACACAATCGCTTCCTTTGGATTCTTTGCAAATAAACTCTCCTCCTATTTTGCGATCTGTTTAGAGAGCTAATTAATGATGGTGCCCTGACGCCCATTCTCAGTGTGAGTGCGAACAGCGATGCCGTCTCAGCCCGCTCTTTTATTCAAATTACTCCTCTATATGATACCAGCGCAAACGCATGCTACGCACCAGTATTAACCCAGGACATGCAGCTGCTATCTTTGGCATAAATAATTATACTGACTGGCTGTTTGGAACCTGAGCTGATGCGAGCAATATAATACTAAAGTTGTGATATTCACAGTACATAAATCCATAGGCATTAAGTGTAGGTTTATCATCCTCTCTAATGGCTAACCAGGCAAGCAAGGCATCTCACTTCTTCGTGCAGAGATAATTGTCCCGACTCATCATTGCTCAGTTACTTACTGGTGAAATCAGTATAGCAATTATACCTGGCAGATGAACTGGAAATCATGCATTGACGATTTGATAAGTTGCCTTTGGAGTACAAAGAACTGTTTGCTACCACTCGCTATGTATGGAGAGCTAGATAGAACTCCCTTTCAATGAAAAAGAAGGTATATAGCTATAACTTAGTAGTGGTTCAGGGTAGCTACTAATTGGGACACCCCTTACTTCATTCATTCTTGCTATATATACATCGTACTCTTTAAGGTGCAAATTTCACCAACAACACGCACACCTATCATGGCTTCCCACAAATTTGGATTACAGTGTACTATATGGAATTCATAGTACCAGAGCTGCAAAGTGATCTGAGAGATAAATTATGAGCCAATCAAAGATGGTGAAGAATTTTTAGTCTCTTACATCTTACAAGATTAATGATCAGCACTCATCATTGAGAAATTTAGACTCTCCAGTTCCACTCACCGTACAGAAGAGGGTGTCTTGCACTACATTACACACCTATGCAGGTGCAGTGGGCATGCGCTATAATCCAGCCATACACTCCACATCAGTTGTCTCTATTACAACATCATCTTGAGAGAATGTTGCAGAGCTAGCAAGCTACACCCTCATAGATTGGTGTTTTGGGCAGTGGAAAGACATTATGAAAGAGAAGTATCTTTAATGCCTGGGGATCCATATCTGTTGTATCACCTAAAATCAGCTAATGGAGAAAGCCTAATGGTTCAGTCATTGTGAAGACCATATGGTACACTGGGCTCCGTGCTTTACTTTTACGGGGAATGGACCGGTTTATGTAAGAGAGAAGAGAGAAAAGCTATGTTCTGATGCAGGGAAGAAAAATGTTTTACAAGTTACAACCACAAAGTTGCTGAGGTGGACACTGGTGCATTTACCTTGTTTGCATTCATGGTGTAAACGAGAGCGGAATGCGTAAATCAATGCAGTGTTCTGTAGTACTATCATACCGACACTCTCTAAGTAGCTGAGACTAAGACATAGTGATCTCGGTATAGCAATATACAATATAAGAAAAAAGAATAAAAAGGAATCATACAACCAATGAGACAGAATCTGCCTTAGCGGTGATCACTTGTCCTGGCGCACCGTCATAAAGTCAGTTGTTCATGTATATTTCTCTACAGCAACAATATACGTACCCGTGTGGGCAGTATGACAGTGCAGTGCATTTGCATTTAACACCAGCAACATGCAGCTAGGTATATTTCATACCTAGTTCTGACATACCATCACGTTTGGTTCCAGCCCAACGGACCGGATTGTCAGTAGGGTTTGTGGAGCATGAGCAGTTCTTCTGCAATAATTATCATGACTATGCCCGCAAAGCTAGCTCAACAACCTCAGTGAGGAAGAAGGAAAGAGGCTCCAGTGCTGGAGAGAGTCCTGTCAGTTAACCTCACGAGTAGAAAAGCGTGAAACACGCGTGCTGACTAACTAAGGTGCTCGGAATTAGATGTAAAGCAGCGTAAGGCATAGAATGCCGACATAAAAGTGCAGACATAATATTTGTGATTGGTGCAGAAGCTCGGCATAAAGAATGACAGGAATGACAATGAAGCAATTAGAGTAGTTTGGCTATGGATCCAGTGGAGCAGGCCATGGAGCTGCTGGCTTCCACTTGCACTGACATCAAAGTCCAGTTGTCTCCTGCAGACACTTGAAGGATGCCTACCTTCTGCAGCTGAACTTCTCCGGGCACCACTCAATGATCATCTGCTTCAGGTTGATGATTCCATGCGATACTGTATATCTGACGCAGTGTTTTGATGAAACTTCGACTAGCTGTGCTCCAGTTCTTGATGCACACATTCGGTGAAGAGCCCACGTCGTAGTAGTGGGTCTTCCCCCATTCTATGTGGGTGTCTTTCAGCTCACCCACAGTGTAGCACAAGGCACTGTCTCCTTCATGTTCATGGACTTCCACAACATACCCTTCATCACTCATAGCAATTTTAGCATTTGCTGCTTTGCTGGTCATCTTTACGGGGTGCTCCCAGTGTACTCCACACCTACCCATGTCCACTTGACCCAATCGATAGTACAAACTCTTCTTGAAAAGGTGTTTCTCTTCGTGCACTTCCACAATCTTTCCGTCTGTTCTAAGAGCAACTGAGGGTTGTATCCCACTGCCGCAATTCTGGCTCTTGCCCCACGTTATGTCTTTCGTCTCGGGGTTTACTATTCCATATCTACTGGAGAGTTTGCCCTCGCCGTTGTCGTAAACTGCGAGAGCCATCCACATATCGTTTGTGGAAACACTGGGGGTGGTTCCTTTCGCAAATTGCATGTGTCTTCCCCACTGCACCTGTCCCTCGCCGTTGACGACCCCCACGCAGTGTTGAACTTCAGTGCCAGTCGGACTGGTGTGAACCAAAACAGCTATTCTATCTGCAACAACAGAAACGGACGGACGACCGCCCATCACCGCAGTAGGACTGCAGGTCGCAAAGTCCAAGCTGCCTTCCGCCGAGGTGTACACAGTAGAGGATGTGATGGGACCATCGATGATGCTGATGGTGCTTTCTGAACGGCGCCCGTTCATCGATGAAAATCGACAGAGAATCAAGAACAGCACACGTGTCTTGCTATTACTCACAACTCGGAAAAATTCACACCACCACGCGAGCCAACTAAGCTAGCTGTGTACAAATTGCGGCGTCCGGTTATGAAACGGAAGTTGATACAGACGCTATCGCGCGCGCGCGTGGACTAAGACTAGACTGGCATGCCACGCGCATGCGCGCACTGGAGGCGCTCTACTCTCTCGTCCTCCCCGCTCGACTGTGGACACAGGCTAGTAGTCATCGGGCTGTATAATATTGTGGTGATTAGTGTCTACTAATGCTGATGCAGACAATTGAGCATGAGACTCCATCACAGAGTGCTTGGCTGTGGCTGCTGTTTGCTATTCTTTTTCTTATTAGTGCCCACCGTCAAGTACGTCATTGTATTATTGCCAGATTGTGGTTTCCACTTTTGTTATTACAGTGAGTTGATGTGGAATCGTTCAATCTGCCATTCAGAAAATTCAGGGATTATAGCTTCATCTGCTCTCAGTTCTAACACCCACCACACAAGCAGAGGTATATCTGTGTACCTTAGTCTCGCGTAGCCACACCCTCTCTAAAAGGGGAAAGTGTCTGGTCTGCGTAGTATTGTAGACTTGTGCCCATGGAATGTAATGATGTAATCGTTTAATGTTCAAATAGAAGCATCCACACATTCCTGTATAAAGGCTATACACTCATAACGAAGCTACCTGTGAAATTCACTGCCAATGAGGAAGCGATGATCCACTAGCCCATCAGAACTAACAGCTGGTGCTCCCACGGCGCAGACGCCGGGCAGCTCGCGAACGCGTTCCTTTTTTGCCCTGCTGACTTTGCACATTCCACAATAACATTGACGTCACGTACAGTTTCCAGCAATCTGATTGGAAAACCCAGTTTCTGGGTGCAGGGAACAAGTCACATACTATACTGTACACACTGAAAGGGTGTTGAAGGAAATTTGACCCGTCCAACAAGATAAATTAGAGCAGGGTAATTAGTCTGCTATCTCTGGTGTCAACCACATGAGCCAGTGATCCTGTGACTGTACTTGGATCTCAACATCCGTAGTGGATCAAGCTTTGCCATAGCTTACTATTGAGCAACACAGCATATGTATGGTAGTCTTGATAGGGAGTCTCTCTACCCTTTCAGCCAGTGTGTGACAGTGCAGTGTGAAGTGAACTGCAAATTAGAATTTTGGCATGTGCCCAGGGTCCTGATTAGTGGGGTTTCCTGCCTATAGGGGTGCATGGGGTAGTGTTCAACCACAGACACTATGTATATCTCCTTAGGTCCTGGACTCCATTCCTGTGTACATGTATGGATGTGTGTTGAGTGTGAGTCACGCAAACTACTGACCTCACTATGAGACATGGCTTCACCTTATAGACCGACTTACAGGACCAGAATATTTCACCATGCCAGATAGAACACTCTACTATTTTAAGAGTCTTGTGTGAACTTCCTTGTATATGCAGGTGCTCCCTGCCAAAGCAAAGCATGTTGTCCAAGTACACACACAGAGCAAATTGAATGTACAAAGTGTTCTACATGTACCTGCAAAGGTTAAGTGAATGAGAGCATTTGCACGCTAAACAGTGTTCACCTGTGAAATGCGACATCTGAGGCCTCTCTTGCTGTTCAGCACATTAGCAGCTTTTGTAGACTCTGTACACTTACATGTCCACTTACAAATACCTGGAGGTTTCCTGGGAGCAGTATGCTTTGCTCTTGTAGCTGGGTGGTGCTGTGTTACAGCCAATGGCATGTGCCCAGCAAGTGTAACTATTTTGGTTACATTCCCCATGTCTCTAGGTAGCACTCTCTACCAGTATGTGAATTGTGGTCCCACTAGGATTGGTTGTTTGGAGATAACACCAAACTCTCTACTCGGTTGTTGATGCTTTACGAGCTGTTGTGCTAGAGGCCTGGGGAAAGGATAGCCAAAGTAACTGTGACAACGCACCTCTGATGTGGCAGGTCTGTTTGAGATGATCAGTGGTCATTAGTGTGTGCAGGGAAGCATTCTGCGCAGCGCAGTGACCTTTGGCACAGCTTAAGGATGGCTCTGCTAAATTGGGTGTAATTGTACATACAGTGTAATGATTACGTAGGTGTACTGTTATACAGTGTATATGAGAAGACAAGATGCTGCAAGCTTACTTCTATGAATTTACAAACTCTGTGTGATACATATAGTACCAGTGCCAGGGAAATAGATGCCTCCTGTGGGATTCATAACACTTGGGTGGTGAATATTGTCACGAAGCAAAACTATTGATGCACACTCTTTACTAGTGTGTGTTCTCTATCAATGAGGCGCAAATATTATCTGGGGGAAGTGATTTTAGCACCTTTCAAGAATCCATGTCCTATGAGTGTCCAATGGAGGGTGGAAAGTGCACATGAGATGGACAAAGTGCAATGGACAAAGTGCAATGGACACTGTAAACAGGCCTTGCAAGCTGTTCTAGGAAGGTGGGATTCAGCAGGAAGAGGTACTAGTTCTTCTGTTATGGCCAATAGAGTGGCATGATAAGCCTCCTAGGAATTTGCACATTCATCTGGCATTAGTGTGCATCATGCATAGGGTATGTAGAGTGCTCACAGCTTGGTGAGAAACTAACACAGGTTACTCTCTCTAACTCAAAAAGCCACCATTTGTCTTGGGACTATAGAGAAGATCCTCGGTTATTTTTCAAGGACAATCAAGCTGCCACTGTATCACAAGTGTGTCTCTGTGTGTATGTATTATATCAGTCAGTTCAATTTGTGGCCCCACATTATAGTACTTAGAATGAGGACTGATGCATATACATACAGTAACATCACCGTACACAATATATAGGCATTCCACTGCAGACTTGCTCAGTCACAATTAACCACATGTGTGTGCCAAGAAGGTGTTTATTTACGTCTCCCACTCCCAGGGAGAACCCACATAGTGGTGTATCACCCTCAAGGCTACTTGTAAGATAATCCCTTCCTGGTGGTACTTGTAGACAATAATGTTGATATATTGTGTATTTGTAGCTATACACTGCAAGGATTGACCTAGAATGAATTCAGCACCATTGTGATCATTTTACATGTGTAGACATCAGTGTTGGTATGAATGTGTATAATATTGTACTGGCTTTAGTGTGCCATGTCTGGCGTTTGAACTTTGTGTCATTCGCTAGCTCTGCAATGTTAAGGATGTATACATGTTGTATACATACAATGTCAACTTTGTGTACAGATATACTAATGGGGCTACCAAAGGACAACGAAGACTCGCATACCCTGGCCCTCTCTGAACATCCCGACATTGAAATTAGAGGCAAGGTGAATTTTTGTACACATGACAGGGAAACTATTCATATGAATACAGTCTTTGTCAGGGATAGCCGCAATCCTTGCTGTTTGTGTACACTAGGCAAGCTATCAACATGCAGAGTGTATTTGGTGGTTGCCTTTGCCTTTTTAGTGCTGCCTGTTGAGCTGTCGGAGTAGATAGCTCAGTGGGCAAACTAGAGAGCAGAGTGTGGTGGGGGTCCCACTCAGGAGGGTTCCTTGTCCACATGCACAGCAAGGGTGTCTGTCTGTGTGTCTTTACCATATTTTCTGCCACACACAAAGTGCAACAAGCTGCCCAGAGGTTCAGCGCTACACGTTATAATGCTGAATTCGAAACTACGGCCAGTATGCTAATTAGCATTAGACTTGACCGGATTGCACCCTGTTTCTTGTAGAGGCTGATAACAACCAAAGGCAAATATCACAGTCCCGAATGCCAGTTGTTTACTCATGTAAGAGTCACGAAATATGCCAAGTCAGCACTTCTAAGATAGTAATGATCCCACCATCTCTGAAGTGTTCCTGTGTCTCCTTGTGACTTCCCGAGTCTTCCTGTGTCTCCCTATGACTCCCAGTGTATCCCTATAACTCCCCAGTCTACCTGTATCATCTGTGTTTGCTGGCCCATGTCTCAGGGAGATACGGGGAGTCATAGGGATACACTGGGAGACTGGGGAGTCATAGGGAGACACTGGGAGACTGGGGAGTCATAGGGATACACTGGGAGACTGGGGAGTCATAGGGAGACACTGAGACTGGGGGGTCATAGGGAGAGACGGGCAGACTGGGGAGTCATAGGGAGACACTGGAGACTGGGAGTCATAGGGATACACTGGGGGGAGACTGGGCGAGACACTGGGGAGACTGGGGATAGGGATACACTGGGAGACTGGGGAGTCATAGGGATACACAGGGAGACTGGGGAGTCATAGGGAGACACTGGGCGACTGGGGGAGTCATAGGGATACAGGGGAGTCATAGGAGACACTGGGAGACTGGGGAGTCATAGGGATACAGGGGAGTCATAAGGAGACACTGGGAGGACTGGGGAGTCATGGGGAGACACTGGGATGACTGGAGAGTCATAGGGCTACACTGGGAGACTGGGAGTCATACGGAGACAAGGGAATCATAGGAGAGTGAGGAGGAGTCACGGGACACTTCAGAAGTGGTGGGATACTCAACCCTTAGTTGTCTTAGAAATGCTGACTTAGCATATTTCGTTACTCTAACATGAAATAAAACCTAAATGCCTAAAATGCTATCTATAAGCCTGAGCAAGCACCCCGCCTATTAACAAGGATTTTCCACATCCTACATCCGTCCATGGTTCACAGCGTGCTCTGCCATTTTGTATTATGAGTGTATCCCATTTCTATGGAGGTTTCTTACTTCAAGCAAGCTTCACGGTCGTCATGCTTTACTTTTTTGGGCCATTCAATGGCTACAGTAAGCACTTTCTATGAAGCAAGAAGATAAACTGCACTGTCTACTCTGAGAATGAGTGACATGCACTCGCGCTGTATGACTGAGTACGTGCTCTGTGTGTTTTTGTGGAATGGGAAGATACACAGTTAGCCAGGAACCTAATACACAGCTTCCAATCTTCTGTCAACTTATGGCATCCTTTCACACAGATCTACCTGAACGATTTCAGTAGTAAGCACTGCTGTAATGTTTTTTTGACTGTGCACACAGCCAGAGAAATAAGTGTACTACTTACACACTTACATTATAGATTAGCTCCAAATTCTGACATGAAACAAAGCAGTCTTTATTGTGGCATTGTTTACGCCAGTCAACCGGGATCCCCAAGAAATGTATACACAGTAGGAGCCGAATAGAGGTTCACACTTTTCTGAATGGCATGACTAAAACCGTCTGTATTTCTTTAGCCATTCTGTTACACATTAAAATTGGTATAGGCAGCAAATTGTTTGAGTTTGCTGGTCTGTCTGCTCGTACATGCTATGCAGTAGTGTATATAAGCCTTGGTCTTGTCATGTGTTTTAGATTGAGCCCATACCTGCTTGTAGCTCACCTCTTTCCTGAGCTGCCTCGGCACGCATGAACAGCGAGGGTTACAGTTTATTCTGCGATTGTAACTACCCCCTCCAACACCCACACACACACACACACGAAGTAGTAAAAACTAGTCAAGTGAAGAGCAATGCAGTACAAGCAACAATTGGCATCGAACAAGAGATAACTGTAGGAAAAATAGAGAGAAAACAGGCATCTATGGAGAGAGAATGGTGACTACTGAGCAGTGTGTGTGTGTGTATGGTATATTGTCTAGTGTTTGATGTTTGTCCAAGTCACATGGGACAACTTAAGAGTGGAGAGACTTATCCATTTCTGCAGTTCCAGAAGGAGCGGATGAAGGAGTTCTGCAAAAAGCATGTGTTTGTGAGAGAGAGTCTTCCCAGTGATCCGCCCACTGCAAAGCTGTTCTATCGTCATCTCATATTTGAGGAGCACACTCAGTCCATGTTCTGCTTCGTCCCCAAGGTATATATATACATGTGTAATGTGATATACAAACAAACAGTGTACAGGTGGCACATCCCTTGGCGGTGTGCCCAGTGCACAAGTGACTTTCTATTGAAGTCAATTTTCTACGGTTCATACCTTATTATTCACATAAAAGAAGCTAACATTCCGTTCTTTCAATGATTTAAGGTGGAGTAACTCTAGACAATGCCTTGCTACATTTGAACCAGTAACCGGTCGCCTTCTAACTTGGTGCTTCTATGGAAAAGTAGATCTAGTGGCTGCCTTGGCTTACTATTTCATTTGTCCAAATCACACACACTGTTTTTACCATTATCCCTTAGCTATCGCTTTTTCATAGCAGAGTGGGTCCAGCTCTAATAGGCAGTGTAATTGGTGGCAGCACATTTTGGAGACTAAGAAATTTGCCCCTACACACAGCCTGTGGACAATGCAATGGAGTTGGGGAGACATTGAGTAACATCCTTAATCACCAACTTAAGCCCATTTCCCCCCGAAACCCGTATGAATTTACCTTTATCACTGGATGATTGAACCATTTTTATGCCCTTGATTTTATTTAGAAGCAGGTTTAAGCAACTTTCATCTCTGCTAGATCTGTATTGCATCCAAGCATGCCTTAAGCAAATCTGTGACTCAGGGCCTGCAACACCTGTGTGACTTGTACATGTATGTGTGAAACTACAGTACTCTGGAAGTACAGTATATGCTAATGCAAGCCGATTCTCTTTATTGCTCATTACCTACAGATTGGCTGCACCAACATGAAGCGTCTGATGCTGTACATGGGAGGCCACCTGCCTCTCGACACACTGGACTGGCCGTGGGTGGAGGACAGCAAGTACTTGGAGCCAGCTCTCAAGCATGCCTCGCTCATGAACGTCACTCTAACACAACTACAGCGACTGACAATGATGCACACTTACTACAAGTTCATGATAGTCCGTAACCCCCTGGACAGGCTGGTGTCAGGCTACAGGAACAAGATCGAGCCGCCATTGGACTTCCAGAAGCAGGACTCTTTCCCTCACAAGATCAAAAAGGAGATCCTAATGCGATTCCAACTACGAGAGTTTCTCCAGTGGAAGCAGGCATTCAAAACTAAGCCATACAACATATCAGTGTCGTTCCAGCACTTTGTACACTACCTGATATACACTCCCACAGAGGACCTAAACGAACACTTCCAGACCTCGATGGATATCTGCCATCCTTGTGTAGTCGACTTTGACTTTTACGGGAACTTCAGAAATTTCTCTCTCGATACACAAACCCTCATCAAGAAGTTCAAGACTGATCCACGTTACTACAGAGACGAGAGTCTGCACGGTACGGGAGATAAGACTGCACATGTACTGCCACACTACTACAACCAGCTGACCTTCCGGGAGAAAGTGAAACTTATTGGTGTAATCTATGACGAGTTGGCTTTCTATTATACACTCTATCCCTCTGAACGTTTCAGTCATGTTTCACTTCTTGGAGTCAACATTCCCATTGTATAGGCATTCTGCAAATGATTGATGTCACCAATTTTCATATCTCATCCTGATCACGCTATGATGATTTCACTCCATTATTTTATAATCGGTGATACTATGCTATAATATCTCCTCCAGATCACAATTTTTTAATGATCACTTGTGACGTTATATAAATTTCACCCAAGTCATGATTAAAACAAAAGTTGTAAATAACAAAATATTGAGATTACACAACAAACAACATGTTTATTTCTTTTGTTTTAGAAGTGAGTTCCGAAGTTTGATCTACAAGGGAAAAATTGAACGGGCACTAAGCTTAGTACAATACCTGTAGCCTCTGACCTAGGCTCTGCAGAGGGATACGAAAGAGCCAGTACTCACTGTTTGAGCATTTTCACACACTTCAGTTTCATGACAATATCGCATTCTTGCGAGCACTTAGACTGAAGGGAAAAGCTAACTGACTGAGAACGATTAGCTTTACCAGAATGGATCGCCTTGCCTCATCAGTACTGTTTAATTATACACACCCTTTGGGGGAGCGTGTTACATAATAAGCGCAAACAGTGAGCGGCTCTTCTTTCTCCTCTGAACAGCCCAGGTATATACAAGGCTTTGCATACCGTAGCGCCCAAAGTTACAGTCGTGTGATTTATAATTCGTGAAATACACCTACTCCTTTGTATTAAAACCAATCTGCACATTGTATTTCCAGGTTTACTGTGCAACATGTAATTGCAAACTACTGCACCTGTCTTTCTCTAAATGACCGCTTTCCTTTGGCTCTGATGGCCTTTTTCTGCCTCATCATGATGAATGACTTGCTTTTGGCTTTCTGCTGGTTGGTTGTGCTACTGTGAGGATTTAATTTCGGTCGTTTGTGGCCATATGTCTTCTCACGGCTTGCCTGCAGACATCAAAAACACAATATCAAACATGCAAAATTCCCTGCCTCTAAAAGGGCAAACCATCAACACAGGAACGTGAGTGCTTGTTATGTGCACAATTATTCGCAGGAAGATTAGACCATGTGATGCCAAGAGAAAAAAGAGGGGAGCTGGACAGCTGTTTCGGGCTTGTTGGCCCTCATCAGCAGAGCATAAAGTAAGTTCTCTCTCTGGCATCACGAGTTTATAAAGGCTACCAGGAGTGCAGCGCTGTGGTTCTGAACTAATAAGATTCATCCCCACAAGGCTTTGCCACTGGTAGGTGCTGCCCATGCCCAGATATTTGTGGTTTGGAGCCTAGGCCCCTCCCCACTTCCTGCTTGTCACCGAGCCAAAAACTCATAAAGCACTGCTAATCAATGTGTCGGCCATGCCATGTGGTCTAACCTGTCATTCCTTGAGCAATCAGTGCTGTGCAATTCAGAGTCTAAAACTTGCATTTTTGACGTTTAGGTAATTTCTCTGCTATGACAAAATCATACTATGCACACAAGATACAATGGCCGCTGACTAAAGGTCCTTCAGAAAAACAGTTAGGCCCCTATTAACTAAAGACTCTTCACATCTGATACAGGGCATCTAAAGAATTCACCAAGCACAATTTTTTCCAGCAAAATGGTAATTTTAGAGGTCCCCAGGGGTTGTGCTGATTGCTATCTTTTCTACTTAGGCTCCCACATAGTCAGTTGGCAGCATTTAGAGTATACTGAACTAGACATCTCCGAGAAACTTCTCATCTCTCCATGGTGGGCTGAACAGGCTATAGCCAGTCGAGGTAAGTCAGCTTTATGTATACTGGCTTTTCTTGCTTCTTTTTCATGCAAAATGCGGTCGTTTTGGGGAATCATTCTTTTCGCCCTTGTAGCTCTGAAGTTGCTGGTACTACTCATAGGCCACTTCGTAGCTTGCACTGTCAAAATAGTCGTCTATGCACACCGACCGACAGACAAGCAAAGTACTGTTACCGTGTGGCCAAAAAGGGATATTACGGTTACCTAGAGTACAAGAGTGCGCATCCTATTATGTTGGTGGGAAATAGACAGCAGAAAACGACATTTTCCTGTGAATTTAGCAGCAAATTTAAGGTGGCTTCCCTGCAAAAAACTTATCTCATTCCACGAGACATCAATTGCTCCACAAACAATACCACATTTTCATATTCAGATACAGGTCGAAGAATATATAGCATTTCCTCACACTGGCACAAAATCATATCAATCCAACAAACTTGAAATTCAGTTTTATCAAGGAAAGCATCACTTGTCATTTGCATCAGCTACGTCTGTTGATGAGATAAGTGACATTGAAGACATCATAGAACTTCTGATGATAATGAGAAGAGCAACTCCAAGGCATCGCAGTGTCCCCGGTACAAGACAACAAGAACGTAAATCCTATACAATCACACATTGGAGAGTGTGGAGCAGGCAAACCAACTCAAAAATTGGCCCATCCAAAACAAACAGCAGAGCTAATTCTAGATAATTAATTGAATACGGTCGGAGTATTTTATGTGCTATAGTGTAGCTCATGAAGTTCTAAAACTCTTTGAAGTACCCGAAGCTGACAATCACGTATGCAATTTCGTTTTTGACCATAGTTATTGTCACACTACTCAACCGGGGTGCAAGAGGTGTACAATGTTTTTCCAGGGACAAGACGAGATGCCAGGACTAAGAGTCGAACCAAGAGGCAAAAAAGTGTGCGGTCCTACAGCGAGGAAAGCGCCCAAGGGCAATGACAACGTCTACAGCATCACCGAGCACGCCTAGAGCTACCACTGCTTTGAGGTGTGTCTTAAGAAATGGTAAAGGCAAGGGAAAGAAAGGTATACGGCTGCACTTCCATTTAATTTTGTTTCCACTATACAAACAGGGAAAGCACCAGCTAAGAAGCTGGCAGGTGGTCAACCACAAGTAACCGATGCAGGTAACCTAAGAGGAATTTCTACATTGTGACCTCGGCATAACCTACACAAAACCAATTCGAGGCAGGACCATCTGGCATTCCAACTTGGGCCACACAGCTGCTAGAGAAAATTAATCATCTCGAGGAAAAAGTCGAAAATATCTTCTACACCGCTATCCACACAAATGAACTCCCAGATGATATCATCAGTATAATTGACAGTATGGAGTCACCAGCACTCTTACTGTCTCTTTTCCCTCCACCTTTTTATAACCACTCAGCATCATCCATTGGTACTACAGTTTAATTCACATTATTCATCATCCATGACAATTCCCCATTTTACTTTTCACCACCTCCACGATCCTAGATATATCGTATTGTCAATCAGTCAAAGGTGACTGTGTTGCAGTATAATGACATTAGAACAGTAGAATGGCATTTACATTTAGCACACCGCCTGCCACTCCACCACTCCACCACGTGTGCAAGATACACCTCAAAAGAGGCTTAGTCACTGGCCCCAAAGTCAACAACTCCTGTATCTGCTACCACCCGTGAAAGTAGGCTCTCCCACCCTTACTTCACCAGAATGCATTATGGCGGCTGTAACTGGCAGGGATATGAGGTCCCTGCATAGTCTTGCAGTGAAGTTAGCAAGGGAGAGCTTTTTTGGGGACGAGCTCATGTCTAGCTCATCTCCAAGTGGCAAGGGTGGTGCTGGTCACTTGCTGGCACAGCTAGATGTGGCTCGAATAAGCCAAATCAAGGGCATTATCAGACAGCGGGCCAGCGACAGTAGCGAATTGGACTTTGAGGCAATCTGGGCCAAGTGCTTATCTACGTAGCATAAGTAAACTGTGCCAGAATTTACGCAATGGTAGGCTAATGAAGTAAACATTTTAAATATTATCATCATCTTGTCTCACACTTGTATCACGTATCACTTTCGAGTTGTGTTAAATGTCAACCCACGTTATTGTCAACCCCAACCTATCTATAAAAGACAGTGAAATACGTACAGTGTACTCACAAAAACAAGGAAACCACTTAGGTGCAAACCTTTTGTGCAAGCAGCGTCACAATAAATTGTATGCACATAAACAACCACTTACTCTATGTAAAGACACTCATCAATTCACAAAATATTTTCCAAAAATGTGATACAGAGACTAGCAATCGCAATGAGCATGTTTACAAACTGTTCTTAGCATCGCCTTTAAGCTCTATGACTTTTGGAATGACCTTCTTTAGGTGACCTACGTGCTTTCTACATTTAGCTGGACCAACAGTGGCCCAAAACGACTTTATTCCTTCTACAAGTTCCATTTGATTTTTGGGTTTCACTCTTGCTCGTAAATGCTCCTTTAGTTCATGCCACATACGGCATAGGTCAAAAAGAAAGTAATACTATTAAGTTGCAATTGATACACCACAAAAATTCCCATACAATTGTCAAGATCAGGTAAGCAAATGTTATCAAGTGTGCTACAAGTCACGCGTGCAGTTGAAACAATGGACAGCAATTGTATGGATATGTGCTTGTACTATGTGCTGCACTTATACCCTGTGCAAACATGTACAAAATAATGTACTTCAATTCACGTGTATTATCATAATTACTGCAAAAGACGTGTTGCGTGTGAAGAGACAACCACGACCAGCAAGGAGAGAGACAACCAGCAAGGAAGAAAATGGAAGTAGACTACATCAGCGTCCGATCTGAAGATAACGATTCAAAGAGGTGGAGGTTCCAGAGAAGACAGTGGTAAGGTTGGGGGAATGGACGGTGGAGGGGTTGGAGCGGGCACAAGTTCACTGGCCGGGGAAGGGGGGAAATCCCGAGGGAAAATATGGAATTGTGTGGTGCTACCACCAGTAACCTCCGACCCGGAAGCCAATGACGAGACAGCTCCGACCGAGGCTCTGACGACATCGAGACGAGCCTCCCGCGGAAAATACAAGCTTGAGAGGGATCTCGGAGAGCTAGAAAGGCAGCGTACTGCCCGTGAACTGTCGGCATCAGCTGAGTCTGCCGGCGCCGCAGAGTCTTCCATGCCCACAGCACCCTCCGCTTCACACTGCCAACCTCCACAATCCACGAATGCTGTCACCCCTATCCCGCCGCCGACTACGAGCTCCATCACCTGAAGTGGCAACCTCTTTAAAAAAACCCACCCGCGGACGTGGACGGGGACCAGGTATATACGTACACGTACAGGGCTAGCAACGTACAATGTGTCTACACATACGTACGCATGTACGTAGCTACAAACCCATGCGCTGAGTTGAATATCTTTTCAGGTTCAACAACATTTACCATCGTAGCTGGTGACAATGGAGATAAAGACGACACCCCTTTCAGAGATGGGTAATCCCTCGTTGAAGGGATGGAAACGATAACGCCAGGTACGTGAAATTAATTATGTACATATTCGCACTGTAGGTACGTAGGTGTGTACAGCTATTCCCAATCTTTTAGCAACCATATCTCAAATGGAGGAAGCAATGAGCAAGATGGAGAATTGAGTGGGGGATTTGGTTGCATCAGCAGTGTCGTCAGCAATTGGGACCCATTTGAGTGAATCAATTAGCAGTGCTGTGGAGAAAGCTGTGAAGACCCCGATGCCACCACCACAGCCCCCTACACTGCAACACTTTCCTCTGCCCCCCACCTCCACACCCTATCCTTTCTCCCCAGCTCACTCATTCAATTTCCCTACTCCTGAGCTGCCAGACCTTTTCCTGGTCAAGGGGGGTACTCACCCTGCCTCCCTGGACCCTCTTTGGCCTCAGGGCCACCTTCCCATATATTTTTTCCACCTCGTCGGACGTCCACCCTCACTCTCTCCCACTCGCCAGAGACTTCGTCCGTGTGAAGAAGTTGTGAGTGAACTCAGTGACTGGCTGGCTCCAGGAAGGGTGGGTAAACTGGCAATTAAACTGGCCAAAGAATGTGTGTACAGGGCAGATGTGGTGGTGCAGGAAAAGCTAAGCCAGGAAGGCCTTCACCACATCCGTTACACACTGCGGTTTGTATCTATTAAAAATGGTAATACGTATTATTCTTTGCAGCCGCCATCTCCCCGACATCTTGGAAATTGAGTTCAAGAACAGTTCCTGGAAGCCAGCCCACTGTGCAATGCAGAGGGCTTGTGGACGAGAGAAGAAAAGATGTGCTTCATTTATTACTTATTACTTCACCACTGATTTGTGAGTCAACCTTTGCTGCACATGTGCCAAACATCAATAGTGGTAAAAAAAAAATCACAAACACCACAAAGTGCGTAAGTACATCAACATTCAGTATCCTGATGTCTCTCCCAGGAATTCGCTTTTGGGATAACTTTCTTTAAGTGTCCAATCTTGATTTCTGACACTTTTGTTCACTAACTTTTCCCCAACATTTCTTAATTCCTTCCAAAAGATCAGCCTGACCCAAATGGCATGTGAACCGGGCATTTGACGTAGTGTATACGGTGACTTTATCTTTTGTACAGGAAAGCCAGACAGTCGTTCTGATACTATTTCTTAGTTGCAGTGTCCATTAGTACAATATAACTGATCATTGCTGCTGCTACACAAAAGAGCGTCTGAAAAAGCACTCCTTGATAAGGATGTTGAGATAACCACGTGGAAGGGTTTTGTGTTAACACTACATTCTTATTTGTCCTCAACGTGGATCTCACGGGAAACTACTTGCAGGGGTTTTGCAGCCACCTCTTCCAAGCATTGGTGCATGATGACTTCTACTTACCACCAATATTGATATGGAACCGCTACATAACTCATCTATCAATGTTTCCTCCAGGATCCATTGCATGTCCATCCTGTGGCAACCCGACCCAATTTTCACACTGGAATGACGGTTCATCCTCATCAAATCAGCCACGTATTGTGTACATGACATAAACCATGTGGTTCTGTTAGTTAGTGCCGTGCATAAGTGTGTTGGATCACACAAGCTGTTGGCACATGACGATAGCATTTTGAATAGATTCCCGTTTCATCATATGCGATAGGCTCTGAGAAAACGACCCTTATGGCGCACGTAGTATTGTCGTAGTAACGGCGGTTTTGTGGCGAACTACATTAGTTACGGATTCTCGTTTTCCCCGTATTCTATTACCTCTGTCTATCGTCTATAATCTGAGCAAGTTTGACGCACTAACTCCGTTCCGTTCTGTTATGGTCCTGGATATCTGGCAACATCGTCACTCGCGCCATCGTTACGCGGAATTACAAGGGAACGTGACACGGGAATAATCAAACCTTTTACGGAGTCACGTTGTTACGAGAATACGGAGGTTGAAATTTTACACCGGAAATTCAACTTCAGACACGATTTCACGTTAGATGCAGCGGAATGCCACTTGCGCGTGTGCTCATAACTTCGCAACGGAACGGGCTACGCCCCTGAAACAAACGGCACACTATAGAGCATTTATAGGACTTTCGGTCTAGCGGGCACACAGTTTGCTCAGCAGCTGCACGGGGCGTGCGCCCAGCTGGCGGTATCCGGGGAACCGTGCAGGACACCCAATGCCATGCAGGCTGGCTTCCCCACAGGGGGTGCATGAGTAGCACCGCCCAGGTCAGGGCATCAGCACTGCCCGGTCAAGGCTCTCGCACTGCCCAGGTCAGGGTAGCCAGCACCAGGGCCCCAGGTCAGGGCCCCAGGTCAGGGCACCCTGCACACACTGCCCAGTCAGGGCACAGCACGGCCCGGGCTGAAGCCCAAGACCGCCACAGCCAGCACCGCACAGGGAGACCAGGCCATGGTCCTGTCCTCGGCGCTGCCCCCACTGCCAGCCAAGGTGGTCAGCAAGATCAAGTCAGGCCAGTATGTGCCGATGAAAGATCTCCTGGCGGACAACATGTCCCTCTGCACGCAGTTGGAGGTGCTCCCAGGGCCACAGAGCATCTATGCAGGCTTTGCGAAGCCACGGCTGCGGGACATCCAGTCCCCGCCGACCTGGGTGTCGTGTTTCCTAGCATAAACGGCAGTGCTCACCCCTGATGCCAAGACACGCAACCTCCTCACATACGGGCGGCTAGTGGTCAGGGAGGCCCAGTGCTAAGGAGGCCCGGGATGGCAGGAATATGACAAAATATTTCGGCAGCATGCAGCGCTGGGCCCATCGGTGCAGTGGAATGAGCTCAACCCTAGCCTACACGCCTCTACCATCATGACTTACCGCTCCGGGACCAGTCAGTGCTGTGGGTTGTGCCATGAGCCAGACCATGGCACCCATAAATGTGCTCAGGTGGGATTGCAGGCTTCCCCGCCCTCTCTCCCAACCACGTGCTCCACATCCGGGAGTCAGTCCCAGCAGGGCGGGCCAATCCGCAGGACATCACGCCCAGAGACAGCAGAGAGGATCTGCATCTCCTGGAATCGCGGCCGCTGCACTTTCCCCTTCTGCTCCTTCCGGCATATCTGTGCCACTTGCAAGCGCAGGGAGCATAGAGCCAAAGAGTGTGAGGAGACTCCGGCGGACTCACATTATAAGCTGACCTCTGGCTCCACTTCCAGGCCCTCCTGAGAGCAGGGAGGAGGCGGCATGCAGGCCTCAGGCGCAGAAGGACCTCTATATTATGCTGAGACACTCTGATCTAAAGGGGGCAACCCGCCTCCCACTGTATATAATTATACCGTCGTATATAAGCCGAAATTATTATATCCACTCCATATAGCCTATGTGATCCCCCCACTCCTTTAACTTCCAGGCTGGGACCAGATAGGAAATATCTGCAATGGCAAGTATATGTACATGTCTGACCTCCGGACGATGGAGGCAATGGCCACCCACACTGGACCAGTATTTTCAGCCTGCCACATCCCTCGCGGTTGCCGCCTGGCAGCAGCCATTAGCAGCACATCCGGATAACCCGTGTAAAACAAAGCGCGCAAACTCAGGTATAGGCGCATTATTTCGTGGTGGTTTACTACGCGTTGTTACGCACGCCGTGGGCGTGTCATTACGCGGTTAAGCGTAAACAAGCGCGGTCGCACCCCCAAGTATTTACACTCTAGAGCGCTGTTCCGCACAAACGTGGGTGTGTCAGTACGCGCTTATGCGTGAATGAGCGTTTGCTGAAAAAACTTCGCGAAATACCGCGAGTGTAGAGTGTACGCCAGCGATTGCGGGTGGAGCATGCCGTCGCGCGTTACTACACGCGAACGCTAAGTCTGCGTAAATTGGTGTGGCTTCCCGCTTGAGTGCGTAAAAGCACGATATTTCGCAACCGTTGCCATCTGTGCGCGCTTTTACACACATTATTTTACACGGGAAAGCATTGGCTCACTACATCCTGTCCGGTATGCGCCACAGCTTCCAGATCGGGCATGCCTATCCCTCCGGCCAGGCCCCGGGAATTTCCCGTCGGTGCGTCAGCACCCAGATCTAGTTGATGTCTATATTGCAGAAGAGATAGAGAAGGGGCGGCTAATGGGACCCACCCCGGAGCACCTCATCCCACTGTGCCACTGCAGTCCGATTGAGCTAATCCCTAAGCCGCATCAGCCAGGCAGGCGGCGACTCATAGTGGATTTATCCTCCCCAAAGGTTCATAGAGTCAATAACGCCATCTCACCCCAAGTGCCACATATGCACTATGCATCAGTGCTGGACGCGGCAGAGCTAATCAGACGCCTAGGCCCAGGCACGATGATGGCGAAGGTGGACCTGCAAAATGCCTACAGGGTTCTACCAGTCCATGCCGACGACCACCCGCTCCTGGCAATAAGATGGGGCCCGGCCACTTATTTAGATACAGCGCTCCCCTTTGGTCTTCGTTCTGCACCGAAGATCTTCTCAGCACCGAAGATCTTCTGATGCACTGGCCTGGGTCATGCGCAGTAACAGCATCTGCCAGTAACTGCACTACTTGGACGATTTCCTGTTCCTCCAGCCTGCAGACAGCCCTGCAAGTGTGTCAGAGGCTTGGAGTCCCTGTAGCGGCGCATAAGACGGTACTTCGACGCACCTAACCTTCCTAGGCATTCAGATTGACTCTGTGGCAATGCAGCTCAGCCTACCCCCAAACAAGCTTTCACGAATCTGGGGTTTGGTCCTCTCATGGCGCAGCAAGCAGGTAGCCACAAAACAGGAGCTGCAGTCCCTGATAGGGCACCTCAGTCATGCAGCCACAGTAGTCCAGAATGGGCGTACTTTCATGCGACGCATGTTTGACATGGCCAAGAGAGTCTCAGCAGGCGCACCGCGAATCCGGGGTTTGGTCCTCTCATGGCGCAAGCGGTCGGCACCAAACAGGAGCTGCAGTCCCTGATAGGGCACCTCAGTCATGCAGCCACAGTAGTCCAGCATGGCCGTACTTTCATGCGACACATGTTTGACTTGGCCAAGAGAGTCCAGCAGGCGCACCACCACATAAGACTATTCCAGGACTTTCGGTCAGACCTCCAGTGGTGGGCATCCTTCCTACCGCGGTGGAATGGCAAGTCGATGCTCCACCGGCCCGACCCACAGCATATGATTACAGCAGATGCCTTGGGGTCATGGGGCTGTGGTGCCTTCGGGTCGCACGGGAACTGGTTCCAATTACGGTGGCCTCAGTCCTGGGCAAGTCATCACATCGCTGCCAAGGAACTAGTGCCCGTGGTCATGGCTATTGCACTGTGGGGGGCCCAATGGCAAGCCACTACAGTACTGGTACGGTCAGACAATGCAGCAGTGGTTGCCGCGCTATCGTCAGGTTCAGCCAAGGATGCTTTGCTGATGCACCTGTTGTGCTGTCTCCACTTCTACCTGGCTCATTTTGACATTTGGTTTGTGGCTAGGCACTTAGCAGGGGTAGAGAATACTGCAGCAGATGCGCTGTCACGAGATAACCTGACCGTTTTCTTTCAGTGCCAACCACAGGCCAACCCATCACCGTCGCCGCTGCATCCAGCGCTCAAGGAGCTGCTTCTACTCCAGTCACCAGATTGGCTCTCTCTGACTTGGAGAGCACTGTTTCTGTCTACCTTGCACAGTCCCTAGCGCCATCGACCCTCAGGACATATCAGTCTGTGCAGCGACGATTCCTACGCTTCTGCACCGATGCAGGCCTCCAGCCTCTGCCGCTGACTGAAAACCTCCTATGTCTCAAGGCCTAGTCCCCCAGACCGTCAAGGCCTACTTGTCAGCGATACATTACTTCCACATCATGGCCGGCCATGGAGACCCCTTCACACCAGGGGGCTTCCCCCGCCTGCAAGAGGCATCAAACGTGCGGCCAGACCTCCGTCACGCCCTAGGCTTCCCCTAACCCCATCTCTGCTACAGGCCATCAAAACATGCTGGGCAGCCAGGGCAGCAGAACCCGAACCCGACACGGTCATGCTCTGGGCAGCCTGTTGCATGGGGTTCTTCGGGTTCATGTGTGCGGGCGAATTCACCGTCAGGTCAACTCAAGAGGTGGACCAGGAGACATGCCTTTCAGTCCAGGATGTGGCAGTGGACAGCCACACCAACCCCTCCATGGTGCGAGTGCACCTGAACCAGAGCAAGACAGACCCCTTCAGGCATGGAGTAGACATCTTCCTTTGCCGCACCGACGCTGCCCTATGCCCAGTGGCGGCTATTTTGGCCTACTGCGCCATACGCCTTGCCATAGTCAGGCCATTCTTCGTTTTCAGAGACGGCTCTCCACTGACCAGGGACAGACTGGTGGCCGCAGTGCGGAGTGCCCTGTCCCATGCAGGGGTAGACACAGCTCACTACTCGGGACACAGCTTCCGGGTGGGTGCTGCCACCACGGCAGCTCATGTCGGCCTCAGTCAGGCCACGATCAAGATGCTGGGCCGTTGGGAATCTTCGGCATACGAACGGTACATCCGAACACCGAGAGAGAGCCTGGCTGCCATTTCCAGACGGTTGTCAAGGGAATCGTGAGCTGGTAGGTAGAGTGTATTAATTTTGTGTATGGTTGTGTGTTCAAGTGCATGCTGGGAGGTATATATGTGCGTTTGGGCTGGATGTGTTACGGATGTGGTACATGCGCAATGCCATCACACCTATGACGTGGCAATACCAGACGAGCTATCATTGCATGCTAGGTAATGAATGACACCTATCCATATCAGCAGACAGGGCGTGGCAAAGCGTAATGCGGTTTGACGGGTCTACCACTAGCCACGAAGGAATACGACGTGCAGTTCATGAGTTCTACCACGATAAGAAGTTTCTTACGTTGGAGTCGTTACTTGCACTAGTTAAGGAAAGAGGTCTGTTTGCTGGTGAATGTGTTACGGTGTGGAGAAGTCAGTAAGAAGCTCGGTTTTGTAAGTCAATGATAAGAGATACGTGTACGAGCAGCCCCGTATTATTGTACAACGACATAAACACCTACTAAGAATGATGAGGAACAGACGAGAAGGAAGACCAGTCGTGTACATGGGTCAAACATGGGCCAATGCAAGAGACAGTGTGGAAAAGATGTGGTTGGAAGATGATCCTGTGGTGAGTGAGTGGTGATACTATTGGAGGGGTTCGTAAACTATCAGGGAAGGGAAACCGTTTGATCATCTTGCATGCTGGGGGGAGAGAACGGATGGGTGAATGGAGCAGATGTGGTATTCAGAGCAAAAATGTGACTGGTAATAACCACGATGAAATGACAGCAGCACACTTTGAAGAATGGTTTCACGACAGTTTATTGCCTAATTTGATTGTAATGGATAACACACCTTACCATAGTTGTAAGGTGGAACTGGTGCCTACCATGAGCTCAACAAAGGAGCAGATGAAGGACTGGCTAACAT